AAAACAACCCCCCCCTCAGAAAACAAGAAATAAAACCAAAGTCAATTGAAATGTCATATAAAATAGACTTTATTCAGCTTCTCAATTCTACCCAGGCCAAACAGTCCCCTGTGAACAATCATCTGCTGAATTATTACTAAACATAAACTGTATTTTAAGAGTAACGGAGTCACATCTATCTTGCTGGCCTGCTCCACGGCTCTCATTTTTGCTTCACTGCCATCTATCTATCTATCTATCTATCTATCTATCTATCTATCTATCTATCATCTATTTTCGAGACAGGGTTTCTCTGTGTAATAGCCCTAGCTGTCCTGGAACTTGCCATGTAGACTAGGCTGGCCTCCAACTCACAGAGATCGGCCATATCGCTTCTCAGCCTTTTGGCTAAGATCAATTGCAGAGATCAGCCAGCCCCTGCTTCCCAAGTGCTGAGACTGAAGGTGTGCTCCACCACAGCCGGCTTTGCACCTTATTTTTATATCTGAGACAGCAGTTGCTATGGTGCTAAGTCAAGTCTTGAACTCAAGATCTTGTCTTTGTTTCGCAAGTGCTGGGATTATAGACTTGTGTCATCACACTCAGCTTCTTCACGTGTGTGTGTGTGTGTGTGTGTGTGTGTGTGTGTGTGTGTGTGTGTTTATAGGCCAGAGGTTGATGTCAGGCATTTTCCTCACTCTACACCTTACTTTCTGAGACAAGCTCACTTCCTGAATCTGAAGCCTGCCAATTCAGTTAGACTGGCCGGCCCGAGAGTACCTGGAATCCTCCTGTCTCTGTCTTCCTAGTGCTGGGATTACAGGCATGTGCTACTGTGCCCAGCTTTTTTGCAGGTGCTGAGAACCAAGTCCTCCTGCTCACACAGCACTCTATGGAATGAAACACCTGCCCAGCTGTCGTGGACTATTACTTTAACTATGGAAAGGTGTGTTAGTTTAAACCGCATTCGCTTAACGATGTAAAGAGGCGCTGCTGTGTGTGGCTGAGGCACCTGATTGGTCTAATAAAAAGCTGAATGGCCAATAGCTAGGCAGAGAGAATAAGTAGGAGGAGGAATCAGGCTCAAGAGAGAAGGGAGAATGAGGGGGAAGAGAGGCAGACACCAGCCAGCCACAGAGGAAGCAGGAAAGTGGGACATACAGAAAGAAAGGTAAAAGGCCCCGAGGCAAAAGGTAGATGAAAAGAAACAGGTTAAGTGAAGTTAAAGAGCCAGTGGGACAAAGAGAAGATAAGGCCGAGTATTTGTAACTAATAATAAGTCCCCGTGTCGTGATTGGGGAGCTGGCTGGTGGCCCAAAAGAAAGCCTGCTACACCCAGCCCCTCTTTCCTCACTCTCTACCTCCAGCACAGTGTCAGGCATAGATAAATACCTGGTGAGTGGATGAATGAATGAATGAATGAATGAAACTTGGGGAAATAGTGAGATATGCAAGTAAATGGCAAATAGAGCATGAATTACTACTAGACTCCGTGATGGCGGGAATAGGAGTTATTTTTCATTCAGATGATCAATAGCACACGAAAAGACTTACCAAAAAAGTACCCACTGTTTACCCACCATAATGGCTTTTTTTTTTCTTTAAACAATACCAGGTGGTCGGAGGATGTGCAGCAACTGAAATCCTCATCTCCTGCTGCTAGAGAGTAAGTTGTTAGGGCCAATTTGAAAAACTGTTTGACAATACTTACTAAAGAGACACATATGCCAACCCTGTGACCGGGCAGTTACACTTGGAGGTATACATTCAAGAGAAATGAATGCATGCGTTCATCAAAAACACACCCCGAAATGTTCATGGTGGCTTTTGTCATGGTAGTTCCAACCAGCACGCAGTGAAGATACCTATGGACAGGATAACAGAACAATTACTCAGGATACACTCTTATAATGGAAAAATACACCACACGCACACACACACACACACTCATGGCACAGGGCTGGGGATGCACCTCGTTTGATAGAATGTAGCCGAGCATTCATAAAGCCCTGGGTTCAGTTCCCAGTAGTGCATATATCAGGCATGGTAAAAAGAAGTTCAGGTCATCCTCAGCTACATAGGAAATTAGAGACCAGCCTGGGCTACAGGAAACAGTATCTCAAAACGAGACAATAACATAGCTAAGCCAGGCATGGTGGTGAATGCCTTTATTTTCAGCTCTTGGAGACAGAAGCATGCTGATCCCGTTGAGTTCAGGGCCAGCCTGGTCTACATAGTGAGTGCTGGGCCAGCCTGGTCTACATGGTGAGTGCTAGGCCAGCCAAGGCTATATAGTGAGACAATGGTAAGAATGGCTGGCTTGGGGATTTGAGCTGGACTGGGTTCTGGGAACACCTTGTGTCTTCACTTGGCTGACAGGGATATAGACACATGGATCGATACACTTGATTAATGTACTTTATAAAGAGTTATGCTCTGATTTAAAAGGTGGATGTTACAAACAGCCAGACAGAGGGGAAGCAGAGAGCTTGGAGCTTCCCCATACCATGGAAGTACAGGGAGGGATAGGTTTTCAAGGTGAGGGAAATGGGTCACATCAGATACCAGAAAAGCCTGGGCACAAGGCCTAAAACATCGTTCTCTGGATCCCACAGCTGACAATTCATTTGTCTGGGCTTTCAGTGGAGCAGCCATAGCTGTGAGCTTAAGAGTCACTAAGTGGTGAATGAATGAAGATCATGAACACAGAAGAAAGAAACAGTGGCGATGGACGGGGGAGGCTACAGTCAAAGGAAGATTTCTTCAAAATAGAAACGAGTTACGTGTAGTCTGAAGGATGGATCCAGTTTGAAGGAGAGGACCGAAAACATAAGGGGGAGAAAGATTGAGGGGTGGCAGGAACTTCTTGGGACAGAAACATGGGGGTCCCAGGGACACCAGCTTAGGAATGGGTTGTTACAGCCAGGTTGTAGTGGTGTCCTCAGTTGTAGTGCAGAGGGAGGTGGATCTCTATGAGTTTGAGGCTAGCCTGGTCTACAAAGTGAGTTCTAGGACAGCCAGAGCTCTACACAGAGAAATCCTGTCTCAAAAAAACAAACCAAACAAAAAACTAGGGTTGAAAGTCACTCGATAAAAGGCATGCATCTAGGTATCATATGTGACTTGGACAAGGTTCTACCTCTCTCTGGGCTGATTTATTTTCTGTTAGATGGAATTTAAATATTTGTCACAGGTCATGGTCTGTTCTCTCTCCTCTTTATATCCAAACTCCTGTGCCTTCCAGTTTTGCAGTTCCGAGTACTGCATCTATCCATATCTTTCCTATTCTGTCCTGGATTTCTGCAACTGGACTTGCAGTGTGCAGCCAGCCATTTCCCTCCGACTTCTTCACAGGGCACACTGGGGGCTCCTCTCCAGCTCCGACTCCCCTTATAGCTTGTCTAGGTGCCTTGAAATGGTAGACATCCAGCTGTATGCCATGGCGTCTCCTGCCCCTTTGTGCTGGCTTCCCTGGTCCCTCTCCCTGGAATAATCTCCCGCATTCATCCCACTCTTATTCCTTAAAGCTTACTCAATTTCTACCTGGGGCCTTCTTCCCCATGGGGCTCAGTGTTCCCCGAGGTTCTGCAGAACCTCATCAGACCTCCCCCCTGCTTCTGTCTCATTCAGTCACATCTTTGTTTCCAAGTCTGTCTCTGATGGACTGTGTGGGGAAGGGATTGTGGATTTTTTTCCCCCATCTTTATTATATACATGATGTCTAGCATGTTTCCCGACACACAGAAGGTATTCAAAAAAAAATTTATGGAGTGAATGAACAGATATAGCACCATCATCGCCCTCTATGTTAGGTCTTAGAGCGATAGTCTAGAAGTGCTTATGAAATAGATCATAAATCTGCTGTCTTCAGCTCAGAAACAGTTGTTTCCTTGGCCAGGGGCTTAGAGAGGAGCCAGCGCTGGTGGTAACACTGGCATGAACATGTGTACAGCTGACATCTGCTTACACCAGCATCTCTGTGTCCTCTGCCAACCAGAGGCATGCTGTTTTTCCTCCCGCTCTGACCATTGTGGGCTTTCAAGTGCTCTAATTTAGAACTCTCCCTGTCAGCAAACATCTCCGTGTGACTTGCTAGAGAACACTAGCCTCTGGATTAACCCCCCACCCTACAAATGCAGCTTGGCCTCCATTTTCACAAGTTAGAAACTTGGATTGAACTGACCACAGATTAAAAGTATCCCAAGGGTGGGGGATAGCTGAGCGTGTAGACTTCTTTATCCTGTCGGGGTTTCCTCAACAGTGTAAGTAGTCACATGGCATTGCTATCTGGGAATGATTTAAAGTGTACAGTGGATGTATGTAGGTTACACATCAATCTGGCGCCATGATATATCTATGAGATTTAAGCATTTGCAGATTTTGGTATCTGCAGCGGTCCTGGAATCAGCTTCCCTGGATATGAAGGGATGGCTGTATAAATTAAGCCCTACTGATGAATATCAATACTGTTGTCCACATCAGAGTGGGCAACCAAACTGCAGGCTGACTTGCTACTGCTTTTCATACTCAGCATCCTTCAAGAGACCACGAGGAAGTCGGCAGCCTCTTCCCAGGATGCAACGCTACCGGACCAACAAATTTCCACCCTCCTTTACTGAGCCCAGAGAGTAGCGCCAGGCACCAAGCAGTTTAGTTGTTTCTTGCGCTGTTTCGTCCTCCTCTGAGGACAGTAAGATTCTGTCAGGCACAAGGTTAGATCAAGAATGGACTTGTAGAGTCCATGTCTGCTAAGTCTCTCGCCCAGCTCAGCTCTTTGAGCCTGTGTCCACATCTGTCAGGTATATGTATTTGGAAGGATCATGGTATAGGTAGATGATTTCAGGGCCCTTCCTAGTTTTCAGGAAGATGTAAGGAAGCTGGAGAAGTGGATGGGAAAGAGGACGCTGGCCTCGAGAAGGCAGCTTCAGTGTGTCAGTCCACCCGGGGGGAGCCTAGGAAGCCGGGCATGAAGCCCGCAGCTGGCCAGTGCCCCCGGCCCTAGAGAAGTATCCAAAGGACCCTTGGCGAGGTAGGGACGCTCAGTGGCCTGAGAACCGTTGGCTGGTCACAAACCTGGCTCCGGCAGGGCAGGGATCAGCCTGGTCCCAAGGGGCGGGACCGGAGCAGCGGCGGTGGAATCAGGAAATTCCTTTTTACTGTAGGCCCTCGCCACCCCTTTCCAGGGTACTGACTTGTCCCGACCCAGGTTCCCCGGGAAAAAGAAAACGAAATACGCCTCGGGTTTCCCCTCGCAGATCTGGGGTTCGGAGCTTTCGTGGGACCGCAGGAACACCGGTGCGCCCAAGTTCCAGGCCTTCCCGCCGGCAGGGAACCGGGCCAATCCTCGGCGACTCCCGCGACTCCTAAGCTCAGTGCTGTTTGGTCCCCGAGCTCCGGGAGGCGTCCCCCGGCTCCACTCCGGTTCAGCTTAAGGTGGTGTCACATGAGCTGCGGGGGAGTGGGAACCCAGGGAGTGGGCGGTGGCGTGCACGCCCGGAGGGGGCCGCCCAGTCCACCTATATGCACAGGGACCCGCCTGACGGATGCCAGGAATTCCCAATGAGAGGCGCTGGGGGGAAGTTTGGGCAACTCGGCCTGGCCAATGGAGAACCTCGGGAGGGCTCTGCCCCTTCTCCCCGCCCCCGCCCGCCTCGGCTCCGGCAGCGCGAGTGTTCACCGAGCGCAGTGTGCGTGGAGATTAGGTCGGAGCGCGCGCCCCGGGAAGGCAGTCCGCGAGCTCCAGCCGCCGCCGTCAGCCGCAGCCGCAGCAGCAGCCTCCGCTAGCAGAGCCGCGGCGGAAGCGGGCTCAGGGGAGCGAGCCCGGCCCCGCCAGCCCAGCCCAGCCCAGCCCTGCCGACTCCCTCCCCACGCCCGGGCAGCAGCTGCCGTCGCCTGGAGAGAAGGTGGAGGAAAAAAAAAAAAAATCCAGCCCCTAGCACGCGCGCACCATCATGGACCATTATGATTCCCAGCAGACCAACGACTACATGCAGCCCGAAGAGGACTGGGACCGGGACCTGCTCCTGGATCCGGCCTGGGAGAAGCAGCAGAGGAAGGTTAGCAGCTACCCCCACCCGCCGCATCCCCGGGTCCTGATCCCCTCTGCCCGCCGCACTCCTGGGCTCCCGGCTGGAAACCAGTTCCCGGCGCGCAAGAGCGGAGGCGGGGACAGCGCGGCCACTGTGAGGTGGGGTATTGGGTTACAGGCACCGGGCGGAAGAGGGGAGCACCCCTGCCCTGTAGCCCGCGAACGGCGAGCCGCAGCTCGGGGAGGTGGCCCCGCCGGCGGGCAGGTCGCCTCGGGGCGGGTGGTCTAGGCCACCCCGCTGCTGCCGAAACCATGCCGGCGTGGGCAGGGCGTGGGGGCGGTGCTCCAGAGGCTGGGGCTGAGACTTCGGCTCCATGGCTGCTTACTCGGGATCGATTTTCCCCTTCCTCCCCTTCTTCCTGGCGCCTCCATATGGCGTGCGGTGGCAGCGCGCTTCCTGGGCCGCCCCTGGGGCTCTGTACCGTAGGGGCGAGCTGCCCTGGACTCTGCGCCCCTAGCCGGGTCGGCAGACAGTCAGCCGAGCGGGTGCCGGAGGGTTTGGCGGCCACCTCGACATCTACCTGGAAGTGGACGTGCTGGAGTGCGGCTGGGGCCGAGAAAAATCGGGGGGCGTTCGCGGGCTCCCCAGGGCCCTGTGGGGGCGGGGTCAGGACGGTGAACCGTTTTATTGCTTAACTCGGTGAGCTGGTGGCTGCAAGCCTAGCGTCTGCGTTCTGCCCCACCGACTCGCTCTTTTCCTGGTGAAACGCGAGTTTGGGTAGCTTGGATCTAGTTGAGGGGCTCCGGGGTGAGGGATAGTCTCAGAAGATATTTGAGGTCCTTCTCTGAGGATCCCTGCTTAGCCACGAGCTGTGTCCTAGACGCCATCCGGCGAGGTCCTGGATCTGCTGCCCGGTCTGGGCTGGGGAATTGGCGATGGGTCCCGAGTGTAATGGCTAGTGGTAGGAAGAGGTCAGAAACCACTTTTGGCCGGGGAGTTGGGGGGGTGGGGAGGGTATTAACCCTGCTGCGGCTTCCTGCCTGCGCAGAGAGCCCTTTCCCTAGACAGCCACGTACCCTGAACCCCCCTCCCATTCCCGTCCAGTTCCTCCCCATTTCATACCTCCCCTCCCTTCGTGATCTGGGTATGGGGGGGGACAGGATGGCGCGTCCCTCTGGATAGTGCGGTTAGGGCTGGGCTTGAGGGAGAATGCTCATGTCCAAAAATGGTAACATTCATTCCCTTTTTTAAACTTAAAAGGGGGGGGGGGAGTTTAGAGAGCCGACTGAAGTTTTTTTTTCCCCTTCGACTAAAGGCATCCTGTATTAGCTCACTCAGGATTCCTAAGCCCTGAAACGGTGCCCTTTCACTCAGTTCATCAGACAAGCAGAGGTAATTTAAAACACACCACAATGGGCTTCCCTTAAGCAGGCGACCTGGGGCCCTGCCCCTGTCTCCTACAGCAACATCGACTTAAGAGAGTCCCTTGGCTTTGAACTGAGTTCTTTGTAATGTATTGGTAGCTTCAAGACGCCGCCCTCTTCCTGTCCGCCCCCTCCCCCTCTTCTGGAGCTGAGGGCTGAGGGTCTTTCTCCCTGTTTTACTCACTGAGTAGTTTTATTTCCTGGAATGGGAGGAGGAAAACGCGGTGAGCTGATCCGAGACTCCCACGGCGGACAAGGGATCTCGCTCCTCTGCTCGGTTCTCTTTCAAAAAAAAAAGAAAAGAAAGAAACAGAAAGCAAAACAAAACAAAAAAACCCAAAAACTTTCTCAAGAGGGTCAGGAGGGCTGGGATGGCAATGGTGGAAATCTTGGGATCTTCCATGGAGAATAGAAGTCCCTTTCAGGGGTTCACCTTCGAGCTGGAAGAGACCGGGGTGGTGGAGCTGTTAGAGGCCAGACCCAGTGAGGGCTGTGGGACTCCGGTCCTGGCATCCAGACACTGAGTCTTGGGTCTATGTGTTCACTCATTATTAAAGAATGAATGAATGGCTGAATGAATGTATTTAGTGAGGTTGGAGAGAAAAATGATAGATTTTCAGAGAACTCTGACCTGGGAGGATCAGACCATCTAGGGGATTTGGTCATCTCTGGGCATGTGTAACACAGGTAGGCTGATGTTGGCAAATGTGTGCCAGCGTGGTACCTGTTCTATCTCGTAGATCCCAGCAGCTCTATGAGCCAGACACATGTAAGGATGAGTAGACCAGGATAAGAGAGAAGTAGCCCGGGCTGGGGGCTGGTGTGTGGTGGACCGGGAGGTAGCTGGAGGAAGGATGGGAAGGGAGCTAGGTCTGACATCCCGAGCCAGAGGGTTTTGGTATCTGGGAATCCGTATCTGCTTGGGTTGACAGTGGGGGCCTCGCAGAAGGCCCTCTGCTTTTGACTTGGAAAACCTGGTCCAAGGTTGTGGCCTGGGCCATTCATTCTCTGTGTAGCCTTTTGTGAACGTCAGGTTCCCTGTCTGCAGAATTTTGGCCCTGCCTAGTTCTCAGGAGAATGAATGATAGGGATACACAGAGGGGCCATTTCTTAAGGCAGAGCAGCATCTTGTAGGTTTTGCTTTTCTTTCTACAGACTGGGAATGGAGAGGGTGTTATATGGGACCATTGCCCATAACGGAACAGGGCTGAAGGAGGCAGAGGAGAATTGGGGGCGGGGGGGGGGGCAATGTGCAGTTGGAGTCAAAGGTTACATCACAGAAGGCAGAGGAGAGCCTGCCTGCTTTTAGCTTAGCCCTGGTGCAGCGTGGCTGTTGGTGAGACCGTGGGCAAGTCATTTCCTTCTGTCGGCTCTCTCTGTGTGGTTTATGTGTGGGTCTGCCTGTGTGGTGGCTAGAGGCTGGTGTCTGGTGTCTTCCTGAGTTACTCTCCACTTTATTTATTGAGATAGGGTCTCTCTATGTCCTGCCCTGGCTAACCTGGAACTCTGCAATGTAGAACAGGCTGGCCTCGAACTCACAGAGAGACTACATGCCTTTGTCAACACATGTTGCCAACTCTCCTTTATTTTTGAAAACAGAGTTTCTCTCACTGAACCTGGAGCTCTTGATTCAGCCAGTCTGGAGGGTCAGCAGACTCCAGGGATGTCTCTCTGCCCCTGCCACTGCTGGGGTTACAGGCATATGCCACTGTACCCAGCTTTTTATGTGGGTGCTAGAGATTGGATTAGGTACTTAATGCAGAAAGCCCCTTAGTGACTGAACCATCTCCCCAACCCTGGCTTTTTTCTAGATATAGTTCCACAAATGCTTGTGAGCAGTGACTGTGAGCTTGGTTGAGTTCTAGGTGTTGGTCGTGGAATGCCGAGTAAGATGTGTTTCTGCCCTACGAGACTCCCCACCTTCCAGGTCTTACCCGTCCCTATGAAATGATGTGGTAGGAACTGCTTCCTTGGTGGAGGTGGATGCAGGTGGAAGCCTGAGCAGGCAGGAGGTATGACTCAAGGAGCCAAAGGGGGGTGGGATGGCTGTGCTTATAACCCTTCGCCAAAGAATGCTTTGGGGCAGAGTTCTTGGCTGGTCCGCATCCTTCCAAATGCCGCCGTGGCACAGAACCTGTGGACTGGAGGAGATGCAGCTCCGGTCGCCTTCCTGACTTCCAGGCTGAGGTCTGAAGCCATCTTTCTCTCCCGAGACAGTTCTTTTCGTGATGACCTTTCTGTGTTCCCTCACGGAGATCTCACCACACCCTAAAATGTACGTGCACAGAAGTCAAGCGGACTAAAGAGAATACTGACTTGGTGTTAGGTCCCGGACCTATCCTCTCACTGTGACCTTGGGCCGGCTCCTTTCAGCTTTGGCCTCCATAGTTGTGAAAACTAGCTGATGCCGTTTTTAACTGGAGATGTGAGGAGGTGGTCTTACTGTTCAACTATATTCTCTTCTCTGAAGTCTCGGAGGTTCTGGGTGACCGTGTAGTCCCACAGGTGTCAGCCCTGGGGCTTTTTCACAATAAGACATCTAATCAATACTTGTTGAGTGAGTAGCTGTTGAAACAGAGCAGCGTTGGGAGGTGAATGGAAATGGCTGTGGCTAAGACCCAGATCCCAGCGCTGCACCAGTGGTAGGCTGGGTCTCGGGGAGACAGGCCTCCTCATTCACACTGTTTTCTGGGTAGCTGGACCATCTCATGGGAGCTCACCCGGGATTTCCCAAGGGAAAGAACGGGCTTGAATGGATGGGTTTACCTGGGAAGGACTAACATCCCAAATCAGGGCCACTCTCGGAGCCATCCTTTTCTGTCCTCTTGACTGCCTAGTACCTGTGACAGTCGGGGGGCGGGGGGGGGGCAGGCAAGAACCCAGGCTGTCCTGGTCTTTGCTGCATTCCTGGTGCTGAGCACAGGGATAGGGCTTGGTTGAGGCTGCTGCTTGAGGACGTGGATGCTCTGTTTCTAAATAAAGACCCAATTCCTAGACCTGCATCCTGGCTCCAGCTTCTGCAGATAAATGCTCACTGTGTGTGTGTGTGTGTGTGTGTGTGTGTGTGTGTATGTGTGTGTGTAAGTGTTGGTTCCTTCATTGACTAGCTGTGCCATTTTGGAACTGCTT